CACTACCTTAGCACCACTACCTTAGCATCACTACCTTAACACCACTACCTTAGCACCACTACCTTAGCAGCAGTACCTTAACGCTAATACCTTAGCAGCAGTACCTTAGCATCACTACCTTAACACCACTACCTTAGCACCACTACCTTAGCAGCAGTACCTTAACGCCACTACCTTAGCACCACTACCTTAGCACCACTACCTTAGCACCACTACCTTAGCAGCAGTACCTTAGCACCACTACCTTAACACCACTACCTTAGCACCACTACCTTAGCAGCAGTACCTTAACGCCACTACCTTAGCACCACTACCTTAGCACCACTACCTTAGCACCACTACCTTATCAGCAGTACCTTAGCATCACTGCCTTAGCAGCAGTACCTTAGCACCAGTACCTTAACGCCACAACTTTAGCACCACTACCTTAGCAGCAGATCAAGATGGCTGCGAGAGTACATCGCAAGGCTTGTGATCTCTCCAGATTCTGCAATTTTGCGGTGATTTTCTTGTTCATTTCGGGTCTTTTCGTCCAGAACAGTTGTACCCTTACATCGTACACCCGTTGTGAGCTTTTGGATATTGGTTTACCAATTTCTGACAGTTTTGTGGAGAAATCCTTCGTAAACAAAGGCGGGGGAAGAGCGGAGGACTAAGAGCTAAGCTAAAGCTAACACCACACCGGCTCTCTTTACCCATCATTTACCTTGCCAATGTAAAGTCGCTGCTGAACAAAATTGAGGAGATCCGACTCAACATTACATACAGCAAGAGACTTTTGAACTGTAATGTCATAATCTTCACGGAAACATGGCTAAACAGCGGAATACCAGACAATGCTATTGAGCTAGCGGGACACCATACATTCCAGGCTCGAACACCAGATGGCTCTGGTAAGACCAGAGGTGGAGGACTGTGCATTGATATTAACAAAGCTTGGTGCTCAAACTCTGCTTTTGTTGGGAGACATTGTTCAGCTAACCTGAAGTTTCTGATAGTTAAATGTAGACCGTTCTATCTGCCACGGGAGTTCACTTCCACCATTATCACTGCAGCCTACATTAAGAGGTTTAGAAGCCCGTCAGATAGCGTCCCCCCATGTTAAGAAGAGGGGAACGCTATCTGACCGGGTTTAGAAGCCCGTCAGCCCAACACAGTGTGGATGGATAGATGGATGTTGCAGTATCTATAACAACCCAAACACACTGGAACTTATAATTAGACATCCCCAGTTATTAATTTATAACATGGAGGGAGGGAGGGAGGGAGGGAGGGAAGGAGGGAGGGAGGCATAACACTGGCACGTTTCAGTTGTTTTGATTGTATGGCGCCTCCTGCTGTCGGTTAGTCAGAATGACAATTCTCCATGTATCACGTGACTTTTGGCAGAAACTTACCGCAGAGTGTGAAGAATTGTCTCGAACGCGAGAAGAGGCTGTTTTGTATGAGCAGAGATTGTTTTGTACTAGTAGACAATTTACAAATTACATTTTCAGTGCAATGTTAGCGTTAACCCTTAACCTAAAAATAATTTTTTTGTGTGTGCAACATTTAAGTTTGTAAGAGATGTTTTATTTGTGTGTGACATTAGAGGAGAGTTTGTAACACAAGTTTTATGTGTGAACAATAAGATTTATTTGAGTGCAACATGTTTATTTGTGAGTGATTTGTTGTGTGTAATATGCTTTATGCATTTGCAACATGCTTTATGTGTGTGCGCTACATGCATTTTTGTACACAATGTTTTGGCAGAAAAATTACTCCATAGTGTATCATGGTTGTTGTACCCGTTGTCCTTCATCTCCTCCCCCTTTCCTCTTAGGATCCAGTTGGAGCCTCTCTCCTGGGGCCCCTGGCTGGACCGGCCCTTCTCTCTCAGCAGCTGGGCCTCCCTCAGGCCGTCATGGCTGCCCAGGCCCCAGGCGTCATCACAGGTAAGAACATCCACAGATGAGTTGAGGACAGAAAGGTGGACGTGGGAGCAGCTCACCTGTCCTCAGGCCATGAAGCAGGACAGGTGAAGGTGTTCTGGTTCTGATCCGTTCTGCTTCCTGTGGCTTCCAGGTGTAACCCCGGCGCGGCCTGGTCTGCCTCAGGTGGGGCTAGTGAACCCGGTGTTGGCCACACCCCCTTCAGTGACGGCGTCTCTGGGCATCGAGCTGAAGAAGAAGGAGGAGCAGCAGCAGGAGGCGCAGCAGGACGGTGCCTCTGAGCCGCTAAGTGAACAGGAGCACATGAGCATCAGCGGCAGCAGCGCACGTCACATGGTGATGAGGAAGCTGCTCCGGAAGCAGGAGGTGAGCCCAACCCCTGAGACCAGAACTTCTGGGTCTGTTCTGCTCCTGACTGAACCCTGTGTTCCCCCCAGTCCACCGTCATGGTCCTCAGGAACATGGTGGGCCCCGACGACATTGACGACGACCTGGAGGGTGAGGTGACAGAGGAGTGCGGGAAGTTCGGCGTGGTGAAGCGGGTCATCATCTACCAGGAGCGTCAGGGGGAGGAGGACGACGCCGAGGTCATCGTTAAGATCTTCGTGGAGTTCTCTGAGGCGGTGGAGATGAACCGCGCCATCCAGGCCCTGAACAATCGCTGGTTTGGGGGGCGGAAGGTGGTGGCTGAGGTCTACGACCAGGAACGCTTTGATAACGGTGACCTTTCAGCGTAGACTTTGGATGACCCGTTCTGAAGGTGTCCATCACCATAGAACCACCTCCTTCAGATCAGAACTAACGGACTGGACCCAGCTGCTGTTTCTTCCAGAACTAGTTTCTCCTCTTGGTTTCCCTCTGACAGAACCTTTCTTAGACCCGCTGGACTTCTTCAAAGCTGGCGGTCACAGGTCGGTTTTAGATCTGGGCCTTCTTGGGTTCTTGCTTCTGTTTAGAGACGAGCAGTAAACAAGCAGCTGCCACCCCAGTGGGAATGACCCACTGATCCAAAGCAGCTGCCACCCCAGTGGGNAAGCAGCTGCCACCCCAGTGGGAATGACCCACTGATCCAAAGCAGCTGCCACCCCAGTGGGGATGACCCACTGATCCAGTGCAGCTGCCACCCCAGTGGGGATGACCCACTGATCCAAAGCAGCTGCCATCCCATTGGGCCTTCTTTAGGTGTTTCTAGAGCTCAGCGATCTTGGTCCAGTCAGAACAACCTAAATGGATTCTCAAAACTTAATGAACAGAACCTTGTGGTGGGAAGTGTTCAGGCTGTGAAAAAAATGTCAATAAATGTTTTCCAGGTGTTTCAACAGTATGAAGCTGCTTTCTGATTGGCAGATGATTCTGTTCTTGCTCCCAGTTAAACAGTCACCACCATAACTAGAGTAGATGTTTGAGACCACTCTAACCAGTCCTTCTCTTCCAACAAGCACAGATCTAGACTTTAAGGGCAACGCTCAGCCTCCTTGCTGCTGGTCAACAGGTTATGCTGACCCACAGTACCTGAAGACCCAAAGGACCCGTTAACCCAAAGGACCCGTTAACCCAAAGGTTATGCTGACCCAAAGGACCCGTTGACCCAAAGGACCCGTTGACCCAAGGGACCCGTTGATTTAAAGGGCCCATTGATCCAAAGGTTATGCTGACCCACAGTACCTGTAGACCCAAAGGACCCGTTGACCCAAAGGTTATGCTGACCCAAAGGACCCGTTGACCCAAAGGACCCGTTGACCCAAGGGACCCGTTGATTTAAAGGGCCCATTGATCCAAAGGTTATGCTGACCCACAGTACCTGTAGACCCAAAGGACCCGTTGACCCAAAGGTTATGCTGACCCAAAGGACCCGTTGACCCAAAGGACCCGTTGACCCAAGGGACCCGTTGATTTAAAGGGCCCATTGATCCAAAGGTTATGCTGACCCACAGTACCTGTAGACCCAAAGGACCCGTTGACCCAAAGGTTATGCTGA